AATGGGAACCGAGAACAAAAGAAACCGGGTGGGACTTAGAAACCTGGGGGACTGAGGAAATCTGAAGCACGGTTTGTTTGTTTGGTTTTTTTCCCCTCGGACCAGTCAAACGAGAAGTGTTGACTTACATTTCACTTCAGCGGTTTATTGAATAGCGTTAGATTTGCTTCTCCAGTAAACAGAAACCAGGCCATGGCCCCAAAAGTCTGTAAACGGTGATCAGTATGTCAAGTCCTTTGACGTTTTCAATGTAAATACGAAATACAATGCAATGCAGTTTCTAGCGAAACATTTAAGAGGAACTCCAGCAGTTACAGGGCTAGAAAATGGGACAGTATTGATCAACGTGCAACGCTACATGTCTGTAACAGTGGGTCATTTTTCACAGAGGACGACACAGGATGCACATGCTAGGACACATGCCCCCAAAGATCACAGGGGGAGACATAGGCAAAAAGCAGTTACATAAGCCATCGATGAACGAGAGGTTCCCAACAGGACTTCCTGTTGGTGTCACAGACATCCATCAATGTGAAACTGAATTAACTGGAGGGGATCACGAGGACTGCCTGGACATACATATTGACAAAGGCTTTGCTGATACCAGCATCTGTCGATACATATAGGAGCGCAGCACAATCATCTTGCAGACGCAAAGAGCAATCTCACGCCCCGATAAAGAGAGTACTCTCAAAATAAATATCCAGAGACTCAGAGCAGTTTCGCGTCCACATGAATCAAAATGTGTCCTTTGTCCGTAGTGAATCACCCCCAGACTTTCTGACAAGTTTAAAATGAATAAGAATCAAGAGCCGAACTTTCCGTGGCTGTGAGAGGCCGACATGTGACGGTGTCAGAGTCGATATATCAACTGCTGTGCCGGGCGGCATGACGTAATCCCGGAGTGTGACTCAGACCGGCCACACATGGCATCGGTAACACACACATATCCACCGACGTGCCTCGTCCAACTGGCGCGGTCAGGACTCTGCAGCGTCCTCGCCCCCCCGTCGGAGTGTGTCGGCCGCGGCCCCGTTAGCAGCACCTGCCGCGGGCCGCCCGCAGACTGCTTTCTTTCCCCGGCTCCTCTGTGTCAAACATGCTGAGCTAAGCACGAGTTGAATTAGGGACAGGGAGCGCCATTTTCAGCTGCAAGGGTTCCCCGGCCATTGTTCTGTCATCAGAGAGCAGCGCGCTCGCCACCTCTGACCCCGACCTTTGACCCCTTTGTGCGGGGGGGTTTCTGTGTAGCCCCATGTGGGCAGAAAAGCGTGAGCCGCTCTCAAAGCCACACACAGAGCGGCTGTGTGCCACACACCAGGACCATAAACTATTCATTACCAATGATTTATTAAGAGATGTTTAGTTAGTAAAAACAGTCAGAGAGGAGCAAATAAACATGAGACTTCCTTTCGACATCAGACCTTAGCTTATAGGGTGACAGAGAATGGGCTAAATTCTCCTCATGTCGCCCTTTCTGAGGTCTTAAGGGTTGAAATGCTCCGTGGCACCTCTGCCTGAGTCAGGGCTGAGATGGCCACCTCCGTCCTCACCCCTGCACAGACGACAGGCTGTCTGGCGTGGGTTTATGTGCCAGCGGGCTTTTTTTCTTCAACAGGCTGCCATGTTCCCGTAGCTGTGGCCTCCCTCCCTACACGAGAGGCCACAAGAATCACGTTAAGTGACAGAAAAGTTTAATTAGCAGAAGATCTCCCAGCGAGCACAAAGAAAGGAGCCCTTTCTTTTTGTTATTTTTCTTATCTTTACTTGTTGCCAAATCCTATTCTGTCTATCGAATAGGGTTAACAGAGAGGTGGAAACAACCTGCGGGACATTTCTGACTGTACTGAATCTTTTGCAAACTGTTCAAACATTAGCAGCATGTTTCAGAAAGCCTGTTTGTCTTTTCTTGTTTGTTTTTTTTTTCTTTTGACAAAGGGAATTAATGGGATGCTATCGGAGATTTCTCTCCATGCAGCCTGAATCTCAGCGTCTTATCAGCCATGCCGGGGCGACCCAGAGAGCGGGGATCACTGAAATTCGCTCTCTGCTCCCCGAGGCGCTGGGTCCTGTACGCTGTGTGTTCACTCAGCAGCTCTTATCTGAACGGGGATGTTTTATTCTCCTCCCGTCCCGCTCGCGGCACATACCTGCAGAGCGCTCTCTACAAACACCCAGGCGGACCCCGGATTCAAGCGTTGCGCTGTTGCCATGGGTACCATTTGGACCCTGTCAGCACTTCTGCGACCCGCCGGGAGCGAGGTAATTTGCCCCCTCCTCACCCTTCACAGTTTTTGTACCCTTTTGCCCCTCTTTCTTTTCATCCTTTCGAAGATAGGGAGAAAAAAAATCCCATCCTCCTTTCTCAAGGGACATGACTGTTCCTTCTCCTATTCTTTCCCTCAGATTCATTCACCCACAGTGTTTGGCACCAGCAATCTTCTCTCCTCCTACTCTCACTCCCACTCCATGGAGCCTCTCTAAGAATGTGTGTATACACTTGCTCCTTCCACGGGCTGAAAGAGTTAGTTTGGGGGTGGGGGGGGGTGACGGGAGAATGTGGATGTGGTGCTGATTTCACCTACTCTGGATCAGGGAGATGTTGATAGCTGATAAAATCTCCTCGGGGAACACAGGAGCTCATTTGATGTAAAGACCAAGATACCCCACCAAGAGAGCGACTGTTCTGCCGATTAGGAAAGCTTCCGTGTCTTACTTCTACGCGGGGCCTGACTTTTAGGTGGCTGCTGCCGGCGGGGGAACAGCATGAGCCCGGAGCCAGCGGCTCTGGAATGAATAAACCTATTCAGAACTATTTTCAAAACTAGGCGGCTGAAAAGAAAATAACTTAACTATGGAAAAGATTCCCTTTATGCCAGACACTGAAAGTAAATGATGTAATAATATAGTGATTCTTCCCCCCAGAGGGAAATTCTCAGAGTACAATTCTGGACTTTGCTCTAAACCATTTGGCAGAAGTTCAGTGATGCTCAAAGGCCCGACCGAGGCTCAAACCCAAAGTTCTCTGGTTAAATGATAATCTTGTGTGACCGTTTTAACACTCAGGAATGAGACTAATTGGAAGGATATTACAGTCACCACAAGCACAAACCGAGCCGTGACTGCGAGTTAAGTTTATACGCCATCAAGCCGCAAAGGCCGTCCAGTTAGACAGGAACTTCTAAAAATGTTCTCTTTGGATTCACGGGGGATTAAGTTTCCAGACATAACAGATCAGAAAATGAAAGATTCATAATCCATGGGAATTCCACATGTGCTGCTATTTGATGCTGTATGGAGCGGACTTAAACATAGAGGCTGTATGTATCACATCTAACCCACTACAAAATGGACCTGCTGTTCAGAGGATCAGCTGAGCTCGGACAGGCCAGAGCACACACACGGTTGGGATAGCTGATATCTCTGTGAAGGGGGCTCATTGCGAGCTTTATCCTTTCTAAACATAGACCTGGGAGTGTTCTTAGTGCCACCGAGCACCACTAACTGACAGTGGGGAATTATTATGTTTAACACTGTGCACAACCCAGCTGAATGCCTTTTGTACGGTTTTAATTTGTGGAATTGCCTATGCCCGTGAGGCCGGCGTAAATCTTTATGGCTAGCGCCTATGACACAAAGCACAGTCAGTGAGCTGGTGTAGAACAACTCCAACCGTCAGCGGGGGATGAAGATTGAAAGGCTATTGACAGAACTGTCAAGTCACCTGACGATGGCCATGAGCCGGAGAGGCCGTAGACTAACCGCCATTTAAAAGCCCCCCGACATCATTAGGTGTGATGGTGACAGCTGCAGAGTCCCACCGACTCCAAAGCGGCAAAACGGCACCCGGCTTTTGGAAACCAGGTCCAGGAAGGGCCGCAAAATACTTTACAGTGTGGACTGTTGAGAGGCTTTATTTGACAAGGGCAGAGCTGACTAATGTTGGGAGTTGTGTCATTGTACAGTGATCTGCCGATATAATCAACCATTCATTCCTGAGCATGTTCAGCATCCATCCGTGTCATCAAACCTGCAAATTCAACATTCTGTTAAGATGTCACTGATCTGCTGTAACACAAATGGGAAAAACACAGCACTGGAAGGACAGAAGGATGTACTATTTTAAACTGTCTGTGGTCAAATGTCACATTTCCAACGTTATTACTTTTTTCCGCTCTATAATCAATATTTTGTGGTGTGTTAGTGAGTCTTTAGGGGGCCATTATCAGATATAAAAACATCACCTTCCAGAGGCGTGCGCCAGTTTCTGACCTTTGACCTCAACATACATTTTTAATCAGTGTGAAATGACTCAATTTTGTCCTTTTTTTGCATCAGGAAGTGTTCCAAAATAATAATAATCATCCCCGCCTAGGCATAAACCACATAAATTCAGCTCATCTCTTTATTTACAGAGAGAAAACTGAAATTTAGTTCCATTGTCCAACTAATCCTTAAATCCTATCATCTTGGATGGAACATGACAGGCCCCATTTCCTCTTATCAGACAGTTATCACCGTCAACAGGGCACTGCATGAAAACTTTCCCAAACAAAATGCCTCACCACAGTGTGATGTACAAAATAAAAAGGAAGATAAACTTCCAAGAGCTTCCTGTGAGAGTCTCATAAAAAAGGGAGTGGATGGCTCTCTATAAAGGATAAGAAATATGCAAAGGAATCAATGCGTGTGGTAAAAAAAAAAAAACATTTTTAAAAGACTGCAAATATAATTAGATGAATTAAGTCAAATTAAGTCATCTTATTGGAAAGGCTGTTTCCTTGGAGCCACTTGGAGCATGACAAAATAAAAGTATTCTCCCCCCCAAATGCAGGCACATTGTACAACTATTTGACAGAAATGGTATCCCTAAAGCATCCCTGAGCTTCAGAAATGCCCCTCTGCCGGGGTCCCCCTGCCTTTGGCCTTTGGCCCCTGGCCTGGGGCCCCCGGCAGAGGACCGGCCGGTACAGGTGAGCGGTTTCAGGGCTGTCTCTCACCATGTCCGCTGGGGTGCTGCTGCCCGTCATCTTGGAGGTTTTCCCGGTCCTCGGAGGGGTTCACACGCACATAAACAAACTCTCCCGCAAAACCTTCTGGACGCTAACCTTCCCTCCGTCCCTCGCCTCGGCAAGAAAAAAGAAAAGAAGAAAAGCTCCCACAGGAAGGCGTCCTCGTCGGTGGCAGGGCAGGAGACAGACACAATTGGCCCCCGGTGAGTTGTTCTCTCCAGTCACAACACTGAGGTAGTCAAGACGGGTAACGACGCCTCTTCCCCTCTATTGCACAATCATGTCGTCGATTATACCTGGCGTAAAAGAGGCGATCTCCAAAGTGGAGTTGACGGTAAAAGGGGGGTAAGCTGTCGACCCGAGGGCCTCCTTCGACCCTCCAATCTTCAACAATGCCCTGCTATGGAAAAAGGTGCCTACGCCATACGAAAAAACCCAGAGCTGTTGGCACATCCGGAGACGGACCTTTTTCCTCCCTTGGTAAAGAAAAAAAAAAGGAATATATGTATGTCCGCGAGATTCGCGGATACCGTCCCTTTTTTAAGCTCAGACACGTCCGGGGGTTGGCAGGAGGAAGTGAGACGGCGTTAAATGTGTCGGCCCCGCACTGTGAAGCGCGTCCGGGGGTTTGGTCGGTGTTACGGACCGCACTGCTGAGCCTGTACACCCCGTTCAGCTGTCAGTCCCTCCGAAGAGACGCCGTCAGCCCACCAACAGGGGCAGAGGCACAACTTCCGGTAGCCACTTTCAAAATATAACGAAACAAGTTTGAATTTGTTCACTTCGATTTTTTTTTTTTTGTAAGGATAATCAACTTTGGATTGCGGGTGTCTTTGTATATCTATTTTTTGTATTTCCTCAATTTTTTGTATTGTATGTGTTCATAGAATTTGGACCTGTATCCAGTAGTATAACATGGCATTGTTTGCTGCAAAACAGCTTGACAAATGACACCTTTCATAGATCCATCCATCCATTCGTTACCGCTTATTCCCTAATGGAGTCGCAGGGAGAACGGGAGCCTATCCCAGTGGTCAACGGGCGAGAGGCGGGGTACCTTTCATAGATATTCAAGTGATATTAAACTGTCATGGAATGTACAAATAAGCAGATAAATGAGTAAAGAAATAAGTTTGGCTCGGTACCAAACAGCAGAGAGCTTAATTTTTTGAATAACCCAGTTAAACAAAAAGCCAAACCAGATAAAAGCTTTCTCCAAAGAAGTTTTTATTAGTTAAACAGATACAACTTTTAACAATGTAAGTCAAGAGAGATGATAATGTGTAAAGGGTATTCAGCCATTATTTTTTAAATATCTGACAGATTTGCTTTTCAATGTGGTAAATGTCTCGAACTCTTCATTTTGAGTAATCTATACTTTTTCTTATTATGCCCATCGCTGCATTTTACTGTGCTGCCAAGACAGTACAAATTAGATGGATTTATTCTGTAACACACATCATTTGTTCAATCAAAGATGTGCTACTGTGGCATGATATACAGAAACGTGCTCTGGTATTTTTAGCTGATAAATATTTTTAACACAATGTCTCCAGTCAAAATGGCAACTTTAAACATCCGTTTGATGAAGCCATTACCAATGGGTTTTTTTCCCCCCAAGATTTATTTTGAAGGCAGGAGTTACTCATATCCGGTTGTTGGAATTAATCCCTGCTACTTTACGCAGTCCCGCCTGGTAACATGGCTGCAGTTCTAAAGTTGCGGATAGAACAGGGAAGTGTGTGTTTAAAGTAGTGGGAGCATCAATGGAAGTCATCAGAGCTGAGCTGGTGGTGTCGTTGGGAGGATGTAGGATGGGGGTTTCACTGAAACAGGCAAAGAATGAGAATAAGTTACTGGTAAAGCTGAAGTTCTTTTCTGATTATCCCTGTCAGGGCTGGACAAAGTTCAGGGTCAGAAATAAAATAGCAAATATTGTTTCAGTGATTCTTTTTGCACCCATAGCGGATTTGAAAAAGTCAAGCAGTGTTTACTGGCAGGGACATCGACACATACAACAGCAAATGAGGGAGGATAGGACTGTCCAATGAGGATGTCCATCCCCTTAAATTACTGGACAACTCAGTGTTCAAAACTACACGTGCCTTCTTGAAGGCAGAATCTCTTACAGAACTGAGGCGAGACAGTAACGATCATTGTTGAGCAGAACAATGATTGTGGAGGAAAAACATGGCACTCAGTGTCTTTTGTGTTGAATTATTTCAGACAATCGGCAGCAGCTAAGGCAGGAAAGAAATGTAATTACGTGACAGTTTTAAAATATAAGCTTGATATGGATGTGGGATAAATCTAGCATGTTTTAATGCACATGTGACATAATATAGGCTACAGAGGTCCCTATGAGTTCTTGTAAGTGTGTTTATGTGTCCCTGCTTCCGTCAGAGATCAAGATGCCCATTGACAGCAGCTCTGTCTTCTCCCTGGTGGCCTGAGTGAAATCCATTGTGACATCAGGAGAGGCTTTTTGTCTGAGATCTACTGGATTAACAACCTAATCTCCCCACCATAAAGGGAGAGTGCAGAGGGGGGAGTTAGTCCGCCGCACACAAACACTCATTCACACACGCACAAGCACACACACCCAACCATAAGCAAGCCTTCACAAACACAACAAGGTGTGAAAGGGATTTTGTTTGACTGGGTTTTCAAAAATTTAGGTCAGTGATTGATGGGCAAAGACCATTACACAAACAGACTGTGCTTTATTTCTCCGTTAATATCCCATTTAATCTTGTATTCTCTTGCATTGCTCCTGCCCCATAGTGTCTCATGTCTCACAATAAAGAACAAAGGTCTCTATTATACATTTTATTAACACGCACCCACTGTTTTTACATGTACAGAAGCATAGAAGCAAGCATGCATTTTAATTTTAGTCTGGCTTCAAATTCTGGTGTAATGTCATTGTGAAAGCCCTGTTTTGTTTAAATAACTGGAATCCTTTAGCCTTATCTTCAAATTAAAAAAAAAAAAATGTACATCAGAAATAATTTCTTAATTAGCCATTTAGTCATTTCTTTCACACCTATGTCCTGTTCTCATTGCAAACTACTCCTCACACAGTCATGACCTGTTGTGTCTTTCCATTCCAGATCTACATCATCTAAAACTATTTTTATCTTTTTGCCTCTTTCAAAAAGAAGAAGAGAAGAGAGAGCGCCAGTGACTTTTAAAGGACAATGTAAGGGTATGTCTGTCTGTGAACTGAATCTCAGGCAAAAGTGGGTCATGTAGCAGGATGACATTAATCACAAGTTGTCCGGCTAATGTTTTGGAAACGGTCAAATTTCTGACCCAGTGCCAATGGAACTCAGCCAAGCGTTTCATGAGAGGAAATCCTTTACAAGACTTCCATGCAGGTTTATCTGCAGAACCGATCCTCAGATGACAGAGACTGGAATGTCACCTTCCTGGTGAGGAAGAACCAAGGCTGGAGCAGGAACTCTGGCCAGATATAGCTGAGTTCTCCTCATTTGGCCCAGCAGGGGCTCTGTAAACTCCTGGGTGGGGACTGCTAGAGGCAGCGTAAAGGTGTGGAGATAGTCACCAGGCCCCCTGCTGATCACTTATGTGTTAAAGTTCCCCCAGGGAGGAAGAAGATTGCCTCTGTGGCTGGGGGGTAGCTTTTGACTAGTTTCTACACGTTTTTCTGGAAGGGCTTTCACCAACTGAATCAAGTTCTCCTTTGGGGCTTCATTACTTAAGTGGGAAATCATGTAGAAACCTTGTGGGGGCAGGATTAGGAGGAGCAGCAGCCATTGAGTGTTTTGCTCTCCATATTTTCTGCCAGGTTTACGCTGGCGGTAAAAAAATCTTATGTTTTGGCATTAGCCAGTTGTAGGTTTAATAGTTGTAAATGTTGTAAATAAAGGTTTGGATCAGATTGACTGCCGGAAACATATGATTATCCTAAGACCACGGGGAGGATTGAGGGCAAACATTTGGCTGAGACCCTCATCAGTGGCGGGGGGGTTAAACATTCTTTTTTATAGCTTTACTGGGGACATGGTGTCCAAGTGGACCGAAACTCTTCAGTGTTGGCGTTTTAAAAAAAGCATAGGGAAATGCAGGTGAACACAGGCCATGAGGGAGATTTTCTTGTTGATGAAGGATAGTTGTGTGGATGTCGAGCCAAAGGAGCAGTGGTTTGGGTGGCTGCAGGCAGGTGTGGAATCATTTCAGAGAGGCTATGGAGATGGGCTCTCAATTAGCCTTTAGGAATTCCTGGCAAACCATTTGATCTCTCAGAAGCGGGGCTCAGGCCGTGTGCAGCGGGGGAGTGGAAACCTCTGGCAGAGTCTGGGGTTATTGCTGGATGATTCCGCTTTAAAATGACAGGTGCAGGCTTGATTAGGTTGTATAGCAGAGGCCTGGAGATACAGTCACTTCCATTTTCCAAGGTTGTCGAGTCTAACAAATTAATGTCGACTGTCAGAGTTTCGAAAGAATCCAGAACACAGCATTTAGTTGTTGTGTTGACGTTTTTTTTCTCTTGTCTTCTCAGTTCTTCTTCGGTACCACAGTGAATCGCTGAGATTACATAATATTGTATTACCTTTTTCAAGGACTTTGCATCTCTGATCTTATATTTGACCAAACTCTGGATATGAAACATGTTTCCAATCATTTTTTTCTCTTAAGTATCCAGCTGGAGGTAACATTTAACCACAAATGCATATATATATATGTGCTTAGTTTCTTCCACGTTCAAGCCGAAAGTGTGTCTTTTACGTGGTGCGTGTGTATCTGTTGAGACTGTGAGTGACTGTGCAGTCTGTGATGCCCTCCTCAGCACTTGTCTGTACTTGTTTGACAGTGCAGGTCTGTGTAACGTGAACTCACAGGTCACCTTTACTACAGTCCCCCAGTTCCTCCCTTTAAGGTCCGCTGATCAAATATAAAAGTTACATTCAGACTGGAGACAATCTTCTCCTGTCACCATTGAGGCCTCGTGCCCGCGCTTGTCTGTGGATTTTCATCCGAGCACCTGCCGTCTGACTGCGGCCACACACAGAAACGTTGTTGACATGAAACGTATTTATAGAACACCACCTGGTCGTGACAAGGAACAAGTTGCAATTGCTTTTTTGTTTGCCCCAGAGGTCAAAGGGCATGATTAGAGCTGAAGAAATTTAGCGTATCCCCTTTCAGAGAGGATCTCTTTCTATTTCCAGTCCGACTTCAAATTGGTTGCGGCTTTTTGGCTTTGAAGAATGGCATGCACAACATACTCACCGCTCCATATATAAACACTGGCTCTAAGCATAGCTGTACTCAGACATTTCTCTGCTTGCTTCTGCTGCCGCCCCATGTTTCCCACAGATTATTAACATGCACCGTGTGTCATCAGCTATTCTTAGATCCCGACATAGACTTTGAGACTGAACTGTGGCAGAGGGAGCTCCAGACGCAGAAAAACACCCAACATGACGCTTCACACTCTTGGGCTCAGCGGGCAATCCAGTTTAGTTCTCCCAGAGGAGGTGTGAGCAGCTATTTCCCCACCGTAAACACGCAGTGGAATTAAATGTCGCTCCGATGACCAGCAGTCTCAAATGAATGAAAGTAGTTATAGAGTACTAATTTTACTCAGCCACAACATCCAATACAAGGAGAAGCTATCAGTTTGACTTTTTTGGCAAGCAGCTGTAATGAATAATGTAATTACTCAATTCAAAACTTTTTTCATAAAGTATTTTCATGTTCTAGTTTCCCTTTTCAATAGTTTTTATTTATCTTTAATGCCTGGAAGTGTCACACTTATTTGAAATACATAAATAAGGCCACGGATCAGTTTACAGCCAGCATTTCAAATGATTTCTCCTCTGTGTTTATGACCAGTGCTCACGAATCCCTTTCTCAGACTGGCAGCTTGGATACTATGTCACCAATCCTCAAAGAGCTGCCTTCATAACATCAGGATCAGGTCACTGTCAAAAGCTAACCCTGAGTTGGATTTGGCTCAGACTTACGAAGACACAATGTAAGCCTGAGCTTATCTTTAGCAAACTGTTGTTCTGGGATTCAGAGGGAGGTGGGCGCTCCTCTAATCTGCCCACCTGTCTGACACACTCACCAGTAAATCCACAGATGTATTTGTCACAGGATCTCTCTGATATTCCATGTTTTCTGGAGGCTAAACTGCTAAATTGCTGATACAGGATGTCTCAGGATTAAAAGAAACCTTGAGCAGGTGTTTGTCTTTCGAGTCACTGCTAAATGCAGTTTCTTCGGTAAGATAATGAGCACTCGTGCAATTACAAACTTCCTCCTCCTTCCTGTTAGAACATTTGTCAACATTGCACTTTTTTGCCATCTGTTTGACGCAGAACATGAATAAACCAAACGCTTTGTGCTCGTAATTTGCATGGCAGTGCCACTGCTACAGAGCGTGTACACTTTTATCTGTGAGTGGGAGTTATTTAACATTTAATGTGTCCCAAAGAGGCTCAACTAGCTTTTGATTTTCCAGTTTAAGGTACAGCCTGCTGAGCTGACAAGCCCACACTGACTAATGGGCATTAGTGGTGTCTGTGTGTGACACAACACTGTGCCACAGGCAAGCCTGTGGCCTGATATACGCGTAGCTATATCAAGTATTACCTGCTGGAGTTTCGATCAACAGGTTTCACAATCCTAAATGTGAAAACTTCATATCTCTCATGTAATATATTATCCTAAACTAGACAGACTTTCATGACGATTTAGTTAGTAAAAATGACTTTGTTGGCCTCTGCCTTGGTCTATTTTTGTCACCTGCATGAGACTGACCTCAGTGTGAAATGTCTCAACAGTCACTAGAATCAAAATGAAAAAAAAGTTGTTATGGCAGTCATGGTATTTGAAAATCCTAAATTCTCTCTTCTGCCTCTCATTTTTGAGCTTCAGTGAACAGCACCAAACAATCAGAAGTCTGACAGAAGGGTACAAATAATATTCACTCTGACACCCCCCTCTGGTCAGTTTCATTATTTCTCCACTTACTGGAACAGCTTGTTTTTTCCTTCACAAGAAACAGCTTCTTCAGTGTGGAGGTAAAGGAATGAAGCTTTACTCATTTCCCTGACTTCCTTTCTTCTTAACTCTTTCCTTTCTCTCCGATCATGCTATTTATTTCCTCCCTCTCCCATTTTCTCCTTCTTTTCATACCCATTCTTCATTCTCTCCATCTTTCTCTTAATTTTTTGCACTTCTCATTTCCTTCTACATTTCTCCCCCAAGCCTCTTTGTCATTATTTGTTCCCCATTTACTTCTTCCTACTAGTGTTTTGTCTTACCCTTTAGTTATCCTTGTAAATTTCCTTCTTTTGCCTTTTATATTTCTTTCCATCCCTCGTTACTGTGATACTGTTGAACCTGTAACTAGTGATACCCGCCTGTCTCTGCACGTTGTCATTCTGCATTACCCCTCTTATCTATGGCATACAGGTAATATTTGGTTGTGAACACACACCATCACTATGTTTCCACACCACTGTGGTTTTAGACTAAACAACAAGTGGTGACAGCCTCTACATGAGTCAGCCTCCACTTCCTCCTTCACATCCAACTCTTTTGCTCTTATTATCCTTCTCTTGATCATGACACAATCAGGTGTTGTTATCAGGAGTGCCTCAAATGTACGATGGCTAGTATGCGGACAAGAGAAAATGATTATGGGACATAATAGCTAGGATTTCAATGCGCTGTGGTTCCATTCTCAGCTCAAAACAAAAGCAACTGTCACATAGTATCCCCTTTATGGGGATCCTTTAGTCACATAACAGACAAAGTAGATTATGTCACTAGAATAAAGGGCTCATCTGCTTCATTCAGTCTATATTCAATGAACACATGTAACTCCACCAAGCAAATAATAGGATTACAAGTTATTTTTGCTGGACTGAGCCCTCATTGTTTTGCAGGTGGTAACTGGATTGTTTGCATGTGAGCTTTTGCAAGCTTAAAAATAAAGAGGGCTAAACAAATGCAAGTTTGACGCACCAACCGAACAGTTTCATCCAGTTATATGATGAGGAAAATTTTGTTTTACAGAAAAAAAATATACACACACAAAAAAACAAGAAACTATTATCTAAGTTCAGGCTCAGGTTCAGTTCATTTGAGTTCAGGTGTTGCTTTTGGCATTCCGTGGACATGTTCTCTTCATAGTCTGTCCAAGTCCTCAAACTTTATATGATTTATATAGAGAGAAATGCCAGATTTTTTTACCAGAAAAAAATACTTAGAAAAACATTTAATCTCATGGAAATAAATATCATCACCTTTGATACGACAGTTTTGGCCTCCATGTCTCCATCTGAAATTGTGGCATAAAATAAAGGGAGATGTTTGCTTGTGCAATACTGCCCACACAGAAACTCAAACACAAAGTGTTAATTAAGAAAGAGAGAATACATGTATTCAGGTAAACAATTATACTTATTTTTCAAGTAAGTCAGTTCAATGTTATTAGATTACATTGAATAAGTGTGTATGGCCGTTTTACCGTAATGGCTGAAGAATTGTCTAGTTTCTAGTTCTAATACCCTTCTGACCTTTTGTTTCACCTCACGTTACACAGCCACTCTCCAACTGAAAGTCACTGCAGCCGTTTGAATGTGCATTCTCAGTCTTTCAGCCATTAGTCAGATCGCATGATCACAAATGCGGGCTGGAATGAGGAAAGACAGGTAAATCAAAAGTTTTTTTGATAACAGTGGATCAGAACGATTCCCTGATAAAGCTCCAGCTCATCTTATGCATCTCTAGCTACGACTTTCTATTTGTGGGGGAAAACAAATCTTCAGCTGTTCTACTTGACACAATGTCTTATCACAAGCCCAAAGGGAGCAACCCACGTTTTCCATTGGACAACCGTGATCTCAGACTTTGAGAGGCTGATGTAAATGCTCATTGCCCATTCATGTAAAACTGTTTACGTTTAGGAGTCTATTATTACAACCATATATCAAATAAAGCAGCTCTAATTCATGGAATTTGTTGAATATTTAAGCTTATGATAAACAGTTATTCAAACATGCCAGTTTAATTATTTGAATTCTAAACTCCTCAACACGACCTTCATGACTGTTCAATTCTGTTTGACTTTTTATTTTTGATCTTACGGTATCATACTTGCTGATAATAGTCACAAGGTTATGAGGCACTTGAGTGTACTGCATCCACTTTTAATGCTGTGAATAATACGAAGATTAAAAATCCTCGCGGGGAGAAAAAAAAAGTCCATTAACCTTCATTTGGAACTGCGTTACTGGCCACCTGTATCAAAGGGAATTCAGGAAGGGACCCAAATGCAGCTTGTTTTAACCAAAAGTGAGCTTTAATTCAACCTGAAAAAATCTCAAGAGAAACATTCAACTTAAAAAAAGAAAAATGGAGGAATGAGGAGCGGACCGGGCAGGCAAAGGTGAAATTATTGCTGGTTTGAGAACCGGACCTACAGGCCAGGCCAGTTGGCAACACAATTAGCCACCCAGTCAAACGCGGCTCCCAGTAAAGGATCATCTCACTGAGCGGACACATCGTGTGTTGGCTAATGACCTCTGGCTGCAGCCAGCTTTGGAGCTGGCAGCTCATCAGCTGGATCTCAAACCGTCTGTTTATCAGCCAACTCCAAAGTTGGAGAACTGCAAGCCAGCACAAGAGCAGTCAGCTGGTCGTGGAGCAGAGGTGGTATCAGCTGTGAAGAGGCATCAGCCGGACATAATGGCGGAGTGTAACTTTTGTTGGCCCTCAAACTGAGCGAGTAAAATTGAAAAGGCCCAACTTTCAGTAATGAATGGACAGACATGGGGAAAAGCATCAGCTCTGGACGCTGGGACCTCTGGGCTGTGCTAAGGGTGGGAGGGTGGTCAGCAGAGAGTTAGCAGACCAAAAGGGGGGCTAGCTGGAGGCTCAACGGCTGCTGCTTGTGGTCCAGGAGCCAACTGGCTGCTAGCTATTCACATTATCCTCTAGATGCGAGCCTTAGACGGAAGAGATGAATCTCTCCTAAACGTAACATATCTCCTTTTAACGTGAGAGATCCATTTTCTGGTTGTTCCCTTCACAACCCAACTGAAACAAATGAAGACTTAAAGCAAGCGAGTAGTGATAAAAATAAACAAACAGATGATTCTATAAATAAAAACTACAATTTTATATACTTATGGACAAAGTGACAGACACAACAGGAAACACCAGGACAGGGAGGAGGGGACAGAATAAGGGAAAAGGGGATTCGTGCTGACAGGACCAATGC